AAAATAATGGAGGTGCAGGATGTACAAAGATAACAAAGGAGATAGTTTCTGAAGCAAACTATGAAGTAGAATAAAACAAATGGAAGATGGAGTTAGTGACTTAGAAGGTGATGCAAAAAGAATCCATATAGAGGAAGAATAAGAAATACAAAGATAAAAATCAATGCTGTGAAAATTATCTGAGTCTTTGAGGAAAGACAATATAAGAATAGTGTGTATCCCAGAAGAGAAAAGTGAATGGAGAACTTATTTAAAAATATAGTAGAGGAAAACATTCAAAACCTGGAGAAGGGCCTCCTGGTGGCGCAGCGGTTGAGCGCTGGGTTGCGAAGCTGCCCGCGGCCTCTGCGGCGCCGGTTCGATCCCCGGCTGCTCCCCGGCCACCAGAGGAGGGTCCCACATGCGATGCAGACCTCTCCTGCCGCCCCGCTGCTCCCTCAGCAGTGTACTTCGGTCCTTCTGCCTGCTCTGCTCCCCGCTCTGGTGTTCTCTCACCCTCCCGCGCTTCTGACTGTACCCAGCATGTATAAACAAAAACAAACAAACAACAAACCAGCAAAAAATAATAAAGCATGCCTCTATAAAAAAAAAAAAAAAAAAAAAAAAAAAAAACAAAACCTGGAGAAGAAACTAAATGTACTAGTCCCTGCAGCAAAATCATAAGACTTCCAAAGTTTAAGACAAAGAATATTGAAGCTGACTAGAGGGATGAAGCAGGTAACGTATAAAGGAATCCTGATAAGGCTTATATCTGACTTCTCTGAAGAAACACTATGGACAAGGAGAGAACGGAATGACATGATCAAAATACTTAAAGATAAAAACTGCCAGCAAGGCATCCTGCATCCTGCAAGGCTCTCCTTCAGCTATCAGGAAGAAATAAAGGGCATATCAGATAAGTAGAAGAAGTTTGCAAACACTAGACCTCCCCTCGAAGAAATGTTGAAAGGGGCTCTCACTTCTAAATCAAAGAAAAGAATACACAAATAACTGAACAAGGAAATAGAACTATTGAATTAAGGACAAAATGGCAATAGCAGACCTTCATATATCAGTAATCACCCTAAATGTAAATGGACAGAACTCTCCAATCAAAAGGTACAGAGTGACTGGTTGGATTAGAAAGCAGAATCCAACTTTTTGCTGTCTCCAGGAAATGCACCTGAGTTCCAAAGAAAAACATAGACTCAGCGTAAAGGGTTGGAAAACAATCCAATAAGCAAATAGGACCCAAAGAAAATTAGGGAGAATGATACTCATCAAATAAAATAGACTTCCAGTTAAAAATGGTAACAAGAGTCAGGGTTGGACACTATATAATGATTAAGGGAATAATCCAGTGAGAAGACATGACATCAGTGTATACTAACCAAATGAAGGAGCATCAAAATGCATAAAAAGGAAATAATAAAAAATGAGAGCAGAAATTAAGTGAAATTAGTCCAAAAATTAATGAAATCTAAATTTATTTTATTTTATTTTTTTACTTATATCTTTTACATCATTGTGTATTCCTGTAAAATTCCTACCACCAGTTCACCCGAAAACCATCACCAGAGTCCCTGTGCTCTACTCTTCCCTGTTTTGATCCCTTTTCTTCCCCTCTCCATCACAGAATGTCTCTGATTTATGGTTGTCTGCTAATTTTTGTTTTTATTTTTTTTTTCGTGATTCTTTAGTTGGTTCCCCTATATTCCTCGTATAAGTGAAACCAGCTGATAGTTTTCTTTTTCCTTCTGGCTCATTTCACTGAGCATAACCCCTCCCAGCTCCATCCATGTTGCTGCGAATGGCATGAGCTTATTTTTTTGATTGCTGAATAGTATTCCATTTTGTATATATACCACATCTTCTTGATCCAGTCATCTATTTTTGGGCATTTAGGTTGTTTCCATATTTTACCTATTGTAAATAGTGCTGCAGTAAACATAGGGGGGCAGGTACCTCTTTGAATTTGTATAAAACTGTTTTTTTAAAAAAATAAAATAGACAATCCTCTAGATACTCTTAAGAAAAAAGGTAGGCCTCCCTACTGGCTCAGGGGTTAAAGTCAATGCTATCAAGCTGTCAGCAGCCACAGCAGCATGAATTCGATCCCTGGGCAGCAAGTGAACCTACATGGTGCAGCAGACCTCTCCTGTCTTGCCCACTGCTCCCTTCAACAGTGTATTTCAGTAGATCCTCCTGTTCTGCTCCCTACTCCGTCACTGTTGAATCCTCTCACCCCCCCCATGCTTCTGGCCTACACCGCAGTTCTTGTATGCATAAATAAAAATAAATCTTTAAAAAAATAAGAAAAAAGAGGAGAAAATTCAAATAAATAGAAATGAAAGAGGAAAAATTACAATAGACATCTCAGAAATTCAGAGGCTCAAGAGAGATTACTGTGGACATCTATCTGCGAGTAAGTTGAATAACCTAGAGGAGATGTACAAGTAGAAATATACAACCATCCAAGACTGAATCCAAAAAGAATTGAAAATTTGAACAGACCAATTACAAGCAAGGAAATTGAAACAGTAATCAAAAGTTGCCCAAAAACAAAAGTCTAGGACCATATGGTTTCACTAGTGAGTTCTACCAAACCTTCAGGGATGAGCTAATACCTGTCCCTCTCACACTCTTCCAAAAAATTGAGGATAGAATAATTCCCAAAACATTGTTTGATACCAACAAAAACCTGATACCAAAACCAGATAAAGATACAACAAACAAAAATAATCAGACCGGCTTCTTTATGAACATACTCATAAAAATCCTCAAAATCTTAGCCAGCCTAATTCAATAATAAATTAAAAGGATCATACACCATGACAGTGGGATTCATTCCAGGGACACAAAGATGGTTCAAGACCCAAAAGTCAAAATCCTTGTAATCCACCACATCAATAAGAGGAAAGATAAAAATTATATTAACAGATGACAAATCTTTTGATAGGATCAACATCTATTTGTGTTTAAAAAAAAATAACTTCAAAAAACTGGGGATAGATGGCGTATCCCTTAATATAACAAAGGCCATACATGACAAACCCACAGTTAACATCACACTCAATGGTGAAAAATTAAAAAAATTTCCATTAAGATCTAGCACAAGGGGCCTTCCTGGTTGCGCAAGGGGTTAAGACGCAACCTATGAAGCTGGCCGGCCAGGAAGGTGACCCACATGGTGCTGCAGACCTCTCCTGACTCTCCCGCTGCTCCCCTCAGCAGTGTATTTCAGTCTGCCTGTTCTGCTCCCCAATCTGTCTCTGGTGAATCCTCTCATCCTCTGCATCTCTGGCCTATACCCCAGTTCTTGTATGCATAAATAAATAAATCTTTAAAAAAAAAAGTTCTGGCACAAGACAATGATGTTCACTTTCAGCATTATTGTTCAACATAGTATTGGAAGTTCTACCTAGAGCAATTAAGCAAGAGAAAGATATAAAAGAAATCCAAATTGGGAATCAAGAAGTAAAGCTATCATTATATGCAGATGATGTGATGTCATACAAAGGAAATCCTAAAGACTCCACTTAAAAACGAATACATCATTGCATTATTTTGATTTTAGTAGCTTTGTAGTAAGTTTTGAAATAGGAACGTGTGACTTCTCTCACTTTGTTCTTTTTCAAGATTGTTTTGGCTGTTCAGGGTCCCTTACTTGTCTTCACTTTTTCCCCAAGGTTTTTTTCACAATTTGCAGTGGTCCAGGTATCATTCATTTTCTGTTTTTTTTTTTTTTTTTTTTTTTTTAAGATTTATTAATTTATGCATATAAGAACTGGGTACAGGCCAGAGGTGCAGGGGTTGAGAGGATTCAGCAGAGACAGAGTGGGGAACAGAACAGTCAGACTGACTGAAATACACTGCTGAGGGGAACAGTGGGTGAAACAGGAGAGGTCTGCTGTGCCATGTGGGTAGCTCCCTGGTGTCAAGGGATCAAACTCTTGCTGCAGAGGCTGCTGAAAGCTTCACAGTGCTGTGCTTAACCCCTTGCACCACTAGGGAGGACTGGTGTTTGTAGAGTTTATTGAATCTTTGACTTGACAACTTTCTTTAGTTTTATAATATTCTTAGTAATTATTTCTTTAAGTAGTGCTTCTTCCATAATCTCTCTCTAATCTGTTTTTTTTTTTTTTTTAAGATTTATTTTATGAATGAATACAAGAGCTGGGGTGTAGGCCAGAGGTTGCCGGGCGAGTGAGAGTATTCACCAGAGACACAGTTGGGAGCAGAACAGGCGGCTTTACTGAAATACACTGCTGAGGGGAGCAGCGGGTGAGACAGGAAAGGTCTGCTGTACCATGTGGGTTAGCTTCCCGGCCAGGGATTGAATTCGTGCTGCAGTGGCTGGTGATAGCTTAATAGTGCTGTGTCTTTAGCCCATACGCCACCAGGGAGGTCCCTCTCTTATTTTTGCACATAGCACAGTGCTGAATGTGTAGTGGGGACTTAATAAATATGGATGGAAGGGAGGACAGAGGGGAAAGAAAATATTCTTCAAACTGGAAGGTGGTATAGGCGCTGTAGATTGCACAGTATATTGGGTAAGTCTTGGCTTCTGGAGTTGTAGTCACCTGGATTTGAAGATGTATGGCTTTGTGCAAATTATTTTACCTATATTAAATAAGTACTATTTATATATAGATTTTTGTTGAACAGTATATTACTATTTAGATTCTGACTCAAAAATTTGTGCATTTGTTCAGGAACTAGTAAAAAGAGGATAATAATTCAAAGATACTTTATTTTTGCAAAGATAAAATGTCTGTCATGAAAATAATTCAAAGTAAAATTTTTGGCATTTAGTAAGTGCTCAATACACTTGTGATTTTTGTTGGCTTTTGAACCAAGCATGCTGATCCATTTACTGATTGAAATCCTGAGTCTATAGAGTTAATTGTTTTCTTTCTCTTCCAATGGTGCCTATGTGAAAAGGTTTTCATTGCAAACTGTATTTGCTTGTATTACCTCTGTCATCATTTATTGCTCATTTGTTTTTAATTTCTTGCTAGGAGTCTGGCTGGGAGTTGAATGGGACAATCCTGAGAGAGGAAAGCATGATGGAAGCCACGAAGGAACTGTGTATTTTAAATGCAGGTAATTTTTCATTATGAAATGGCTTGATTATTTAGGTAATATTTAATAGTTGAATAAAGAGAGATGGAGGAGAAGAAATATTTGGCTCTTGGGATAGTTATAATATAAAATTTGGTTTATTGTAACAAGAAAATTCTATTGGTAGGGTTTTTTCCTCGTTTTTAACATTTTTACTGTTAACCTTTAACATTTTTACTGTTAACAGGTGAGGTGGCTTTTCTTTCTTTCTTTTTTTTTTAAAGATTTATTTATTTATTTGTATAAGAACCAGGGTACAGGCCAGATGTGCGGGAGGGTGAGAGGATTCACCAGAGACAGTGGGGAACAGAACAGGCAGACTGACAAAATACACTGTTGAGGGGAGCAGCCGGTGTGACAGGAGAGGTTTGCCGTGCCATGTGGGATTCTCACCAGCTGGCCGGGATGGAACCGGTGCTGCAGAGGCTGTGGACAGCTTCACAACGTAGCGCTCAACTGCCACCAGGGGAAAACCAAGGTGGCTTTTCTTACATGTTTGTTTTTTGTTTTTTATAATTGGATGTATCTAAACATTTCTCATTGATTCATTAACAATTTATAATTCATTAAGTAAATAATAGGAAAGAGAAATAGCCTAGCTATTCAACAAGAAACAGTTGATTGAACAAAATACAGAACATCCAAATAGCGGAATGGTAGGCCACCATATATATAAGTTCTTGTCATGAGGAGTTACATATTATATTGCATATCTACTATTATATTTTTTTTTTTTTAATTTTTTTTTTTTTAATAGAGGCATGTTATATTTATTTATTCATTTATTCATTTGTTTGTTTTGTTTATACATGCACTGGGTACAGTCAGAAGCGCGGGAGGGTGAGAGAATTCACCAGAGCCAGAGAGGGGAGCAGAGCAGGCAGAAGGACCGAAGTACACTGCTGAGGGGAGCAGCGGGCGGCAGGAGAGGTCTGCGCACCATGTGGGACCCTCCTCCGGTGGCCGGGGAGCAGCCGGGGATCGAACCGGCGCTGCAGAGGCTGCTGGCAGCTTCACAACCCAGCGCTCAACCGCTGCGCCACCGGGGAGGCCCTACTATTATATTTTTTTCTACTAATATTTAAAAAATTTCATTTTTCTAATATTTTTAACTGTTTGATTTTAGAGAAATTACATGATGCTCTGAAAAGGATGGTGGGGAACTTTCAGGCTGAATCTGTTCTTTAAATTTTTATGTTTTCCTCACGTTTCATTTTCTCAAAAGGATCTCTTAACATTGTTTATTTTTTCTGAAGTGCTACATAGTGAACACAAAAATCAAGAGGTCCCTAACTGCTTAGAACAATTTTTATGACCCTGAACAAGATTTACCAGCCCTTAAAATGTAGGTCAAAATTAAATATAGCAAAATATGTTTCCTGGTCTTCTGTAATTTTCATAAGTCATGGCCTCCCTGGTGGCGCAAGGGGATAAGTCTCAGACCATGAAGCTATCCACAGCCACTGCAGCACGAGTTCAATCCCCAGTCAGGGAACTACCCACATGGTGCAGCAGACCTCTCCTGCCTCCCCCACTGTTCCCCTCAGCAGTGTATTTCAGTCGGTCTGCCTCTTCTGCTCCCCACTCTGTCTCTGGTGAATGCTCTCACCCCAGCACCTCTCGCTTGTACCCCAGTTCTTGTATACATACATAAATAAAACATAAATAAATCTTTAAAAAAAATTTTTTTAATAAGTCGCATTCCTGGAGGCCAACTGTGATGGCAGATATGGGATGGGGCCAGCTCATATTCTATCAGGAGCCCATGGAGGAGGAAGGGAGCAGTTTATGTGTTTAGGGAGTTGTAGAAATAGAAATTCTTAACCTGGTGTCTTCTTATTATTGCCTACCTGGATCATAACCTTGCAGACTCTCCAGTGAAGGACTTTTCCTGTGGAGCCTGATACAGCACACTTGCCCTTTTTTAAAAGCTTGTCCAAATCACCCATGATTACATGGTCCTTAGTGGTTTCTGGATATAATGATATTTTCTGTCTTGGTTACCCTGAATAAAAATATCAAGACTTACTGTAGTCCTGACAGATCTAGGATTTGCCTTGAAGTGCCAGCAAAAGACCTCAATTGAGGGGCATGGACTCATTGTTTAGTTTCTTACCCTTAGAACATCTAAAAAAGACATAACTAAATTTCATTGAATGTTTATTGGGCAATATAAAAGGGAGCATAGGAACCAATGTGGTGGAAAAATCACTGGTCTAGACTAAGCAAAGTACTTTCATAGGTGTTAGGGCTTATATTGGTGTTAATTAGAAGATGACTCCACCTAGTAAATATTATACTAATGTCTTAGAATCTCTAAGTCAGACAAAGTTTATTATACCATATTCATTTATTATTAAGCTAATTCAGATATTTATATATATATATATATATACATCTCTTCCCTTTTTAGAAATTGCTTTTTTTATTTTTCAAAATTTTCTTTGATATTACTTTCATGAAGTCAAACCAGTTGAAAATTGTCAGATCATAAATTTTCTCATATGCCTGTGAATTCCATAAATGACATTTACCTGTTATAAATAAGAAAAATCAGAGTTTAAAGTTGTCATATGATAGGAGAGCTGGGATCTTTATCTCTTCAGATACCTGTGTGTTAATATCAAATGACAGTGTGTTAGACATGCAACAATATAGTTTTGTGCTTTGGCACATAAATTTATAAAAGTTGTTCTTTGCATTTTAAACAAAGGCTGGCAGGATATATTGAACATATTGTTTGATGAGCACAGTTCTTGAGTCTCCTCAGCATCACCACTTGATAGGATGATACTCTGCTCTTCAGGATTATGTCCTACCTTTCTAGGACAATACTTTGGAAAAGAAATGTAATTTTCAAGGCCCAGATCATGGCACACATTCTTCCCAGTATAAATACCTGTACTCCCTACCAAAATTCACCTCATGTTAATCTCATGAAACTCCAGTTTAGAGTAACAATTGCAGTGGTTTAACCTCTGCTTTAACAATTTTTTTTTAAGATTCATTTATGCATACAAGAACTGGGGTACAAGCCAGAGGTGCGGGGGGGTGAGGGGATTCATCAGAGACAGAATGGGGAACAGAACAGGCAGACTGGCTGAAACACACTGCTGAGGGGAGCAGCGGATGAGACAGGCGGACTGTGCCATGTGGGTAGCTTCCTTTCCAGATGGGGATCGAACTCATGGTATAGAGGCTGCAAATAACTTCACAGGGCTGTGCTTAACCACTTGCGCCAGCAGGGAGGCCCTTAACAATGACTTTCAGGAAGAGTGTTATCCCAGGGGTGGGAAAAAGCTTTTTTAAAGTTAGCTTCCTTATTTTTATTATATGTGTTCCTAGACTCTTAACTCTTTTGGGGTGGTTATAACTTAAGGTAAATATGGCAATCTCCTGAACAGGTATTACCCATAATCAATATTTGTGACACTGTCCATTAATAGCAATTCATATGGTTATGTAAGATTTATGCCTGTGAACCAGTTATTAGTGTCTTTCTCAAGTGCTTCTTTTCTCCATTTGTTGTCTTTTGGGGGATTGAGAGGTTCAGTTAGGGTAATTAACCTTGGGGTTCTCCTTACCTTTTCCTTAGATAGCAGAGTAACTTCCAGTTTTTTTTTTTTTTTCCTGTCAACCTAAATTGAAGACTATGGAAGCCATGGTTCTGAGGTTCTGTTTAGAGTGGGTCAGTATTCCACCAATCAACTTTTATTTAAAATGTTCTCTTTCCAAGCAATTACCTGGTTTTTCTTTCTTTTTTTTAAAGATTTGTTTATTTATGCATACGAGAACTGGGGTATAGGCCAGAGGTATGGGGGATGAGAGGATTCACCAGAGACAGAGTGGGGAACAGAACAGGCAGACAGAACGAAAGCACTGCTGAGGGGAGCAGTGGGAGAATCAGGAGAGGTCTGCTGTGCCATGTGGGTCACCTCCTTGGCAGGGGATGGAACTCATGCTATAGTGGCTGTGGCATAGCTTCATAGTGTTGCATCTTAACCCCTTGCCCCACCAGGGAGGCCCCTACCTGGTTTTTCTTTTCTGATGAGCAAGAAATTTTAAAATGTGACCTTTCTTTTGCTACTAATGAGTGGACTCTAATGCTTGGCATTAGAAGGCACATACTGTTCTAGACTCTGTTTGCAACACTGGATAACTTAAAAATGAAAGCTTCTTGATTTATTCATCCACTGTGTATCATAAGATTGTTATGAAGTGTTTTGAGATTCTTGAGTGAGCAGTAGTGAATCAGTATAAAATATTTTCCTGATATGGTATTGTAAAGTGTTAGAATGATTAAAAAAAAAACCTTAATGTTCTGACATTATGTAGTTAGAGTATTTGTCTGCAAAAGATGTAGAGCTGTTTCATTTTTGGAAGCCTCTCATGAATCAGGGCAAAATAAATATATGTCACTCGAAGCAGTCTATAAAAAGATCCCTATCTTTTATGCCATTTTTCTGTTGGTAAAATGAGTTCACCAAGTCTGTTTTTTAAGATATTTCAGCAATCATTGTGCATTGAACAAAAATAAATACTTCTCCCCTCGTGATGAATAGTTAGTTATATAACCTAGCTGGAAGATATCCCTGTGACAAAGTATTAAGATCAACAACATTGATCAGAAACTCCCCAGAGACCTAGTTTTGTCCTGTATCTAGCATTTTAATTACCAGAAGGAAAGATTACTGGTAATCTTACTGTGGGAATTTTGAAATTTCTTGGGAAACCCTTTACTTTTGAGTAATACCGCCAGATTCCGTATGTAAAAATAAAAAAAAAATGCACATTGAAACATGGATTTCAGATAAGCAGTAAATTATTTTTGGTATATGCATGAGACATGTTAAACAATGATTTGCTGTTTACTTGAAATTTAAATTTAACTGAGCATTCTGAATTTTATCTCATAACCTTTTTGTGGTTATAGGGCAGATTGATTCTTGGTGATCAGACTTCATGTGAATGTCACATTTCTA